GCCGCGTTGAGCTCTACGGTGGTCACAGATGACGTCATATTCTGGAGACAGTGAAGGTAGAAGGTGGGCTTACTCTGCTTATAGGGAATATTTCCCCCAATAACTGCGGCATCCTTTGCGACAAAAAGTTCGATGATATGCGCCATGGGCAAGGTGACTCATTTTTTTGCCCCCCCCCCCTTTCCGTGTACATCCGAATCCACAAGAAGAAAAGCTTTCATATGAGATTTGAAAAGTTGTGAAAACACGGCTGGTTTGCGGAAATTCTCAGTTTCGAGAACCACCTGGCTCGCGGTCAATTAGGGAAACCACAACTCAGAAAGAAACACGATACAGCTTCTCTAAAAAAACGTAGACTTTTAGAAGAATAATGCCCATTCATGAAGACCGACAATACTCATGAGATCACCTAATACTTTGTGGGCAGCTCTATCCTGCTCACGGAAGGACCGAGTGGAAATCTTTGTGGAATGTGCTGTCGTTTCGCCTTGCATGCGGTTGTTCGGTGTCTGCTTCAAAAGCACAGGTCTCAAACGATTTGATGCCTGATTCCGCTCGAAAGTGAAATACGAGGACCTCTAATGAGGAGAAAACAAAGCGAACCATATAGAGAACTGACTTAGGGGCTCCCTTTCCTTAAGAGGTTTACTTTGGAACGACGAAGAGACACAGCGCGAGGAAGAAAGCGAACAAGCGAGAGAGCACAGGTACGAGAGGACGCAAACACCATCTGTGCTGCGGACGAGCAAAATGGCATGGTTACTGTTAGCTGTTAGCTGTCAAAGCAAGGCCTTCGGCTTGGAAAATTGTCACGACTCCTCTGCCTAAGAACACTGCCGCCTCACTCACGGATTACTCCTAGTATCTAAACGAGAAGACAAAGGTTGTGTAATTGAAAGTGATGAGCACGGTCCCTGGGTCATTTATCTCGTATCTCTCCCCACGACCAACTCAGCCTTCAATCCCTCCGGGAAGGATCGGTTAATTGGTACCAGACTTGTCTGGGAGGATAAAAACACTGACTTGACATCGGCTGGCCCCCGCAAGTCATTGTATAGGCCACATCGCATTCAAACGCCACTGCGAATGTACAAATGGAAGTAGAATGCGTGGCGCATCCGAACAGTGAATTATAAACGCTGAACGCTAGATGCTTGACATCCACTATTATCGCGGCTTACGGCTTCAGTTCAGATGAATTATTTACTCTTCTTCTTATGCTCCCATTTTAAGCGGAGAACGGTAATGGGACGAAAAGCTTTACATGGCACAGTCAATTCGACTGGCCTATAAATTTCTGGATTTCCACCAGTGACCGATAACCAGAAGTATCGACTTTCTATCGATCTCATAGTTTGAATCAGGAATTTTTTGTACCACCGTGAATGACCGGGTTGGCCTTAGCCGGGTTTGATCCGCAGTTTGACCTCTGAACTGTGCACTTGGCAAGCGGCGTCCCCTCTGCGCTCCAGACTCACAATAAAAATGTGGAAATTATGAACCAAAAAAGAAGCGCTCACCGTGAGCAGTTGTTTGTGAAGATGTTTAGTCTTTTCCGATAGAGCTGTATCAGAGTGAAGCTTGACTATTGTAAGCCTTCTCAGAACGAGAACAGCAATGTACACCGGAATAACTGGTAGTGTCATGTGAAGGTTTGAGTACATCACGCTCCATTTAAAAATACTGACATGACCGGTAACACATTGTGAGGTCACGTTATAGTTGAAATGCTTTGCCATCGCTTGTCTCACCTCACTGATATCGTCGCTAGCAAAACAAAACGACACCTGAAAAAACAGTTTTACAGGGGGGGGGGGGCAATTAAAATGACTTCGTACAGGGAATTTAATCACACTTTGCTCAGCTCAAAGCGTGTGCTCCCAACTTAGAATTGAAGAGCGCATTTCATTTCATAAGAAAATCTTCATAGTGGCCATCTACGTGGACGGCATCAGAAAAGTTTGCCCCGGAAACATGGTGCTCTGGTCGAGCTCAATGGGGTTCTCGACTGATCGTGTACCGTTACGACGGGTTCCGAGGGGTTTGCATAGTTAGAGCTAATGTCCCTAGGAAACTATCCCACGTTGAATCGATCCAAGAAATTATGTAAGAGCTTCAGGCTGAAGCAGTTACTGTAGGCCTCCCTGAGCTCGACGACGGTGACAGATGACGTCATATTCTGAAGACGGTGAGGGTAGTGAAGGAGGGCCTGCGTGTACTTATAGAGGGGGACATTTATTTATTTTGCTGAGGAACTTCCGTCAACGACGGCAATCTCTGCGAAGAAAAAAGGCCGAAGTGCGACCTGAGGCAAAATGTCTTCCCCCCTCGCCCTGTTCTTATAGGAGTATACCATTGAAATTGTCTATTCGAACTCCAAATCCTACTCCAAACTGCGGAAAGGTAGAAGAGAGGGAAGGGAAGAAAAGATCCACCGCCACCCCTGGCCTTGAATGGTGCCTTTCATACGACCCCTCCCATCATCATCCTCCACCATTACAGCTATATTGCCGGCATCGAGCGACGGAGGGTATGAGGTTGAAGAGAAAGATTTCATCAATCTTTCAACCTTTTGGAGAGCTCTCCCTAAAAATTTCCTACTTGTCATCCACCTTCCCTCTTTCCAAAAATACACTACTATTTCTGCCCAACGCAAACCTCCTCCCCACCTCCACCCTCCACCAGAAGCCAAGTCAAACTCCTTATCGGAGGATTCTTGATATGGGCCCACACTGTTTCTTCTCCCTAGCGATAATCGGCGTCGTCAACGGTTAGCTGAAGGAGCATCAGTGAATGTTGTCACTAAGCTCATTATATGACGAATGCCCCTCTTGAGGCACGAATTCCTTGAGAAACCAATGGGTCTTACTTACTTACAACATTATTGCGTCGCATTAGAACTAGAGCTTTGCTCCAGTGGTGGCATTAGGGCAAGGTCAAGCATGAGTCGCGGAATCAACGACGAGCGCCGGCTTAGCATTTGACCTGCTTGGGAGGATGGTAGAAAGCGCAAGGGGTGCGTTATTCAAAGGCAGGATCCGGGATAAAAGGGGTGTGTCGAAGCCGAAATTGTCTGGAAGAGAAAAAGAAAGCACAGGAAAAGAAACGCTCAGTTACCCCTCTACGAAGCACCCCTCTCTTCCCCCATTTCACCTTGGGATATAGAAGGGACGTGTGCGGACGAGTTCCACGAACGGCTAACTCCAGTTTCTCCATTGCAACTGACTACACAACTGCGGTCGCATTCTTCTCGCGGCGCCAGCATGGCAGCCGACACTGGAAGGCGGAGTTTGCTGGTGTGGACTGCGGGTCGAACCTGGAAGCCGCAAATGGGTACGACATTGACGCTTGTTCGCCCATGTACCACGATCGGGGATGGAACAGGTGAACATGCCTAATCACGGAAGTGAGTTCCAAGGGCATCACGAGGTCCCCAGGTGCACTTCCATGAAATGCGTTTGAAAATTTTTCCCAAGATTCTGATGTTTCACAGAAAACTTTCAACGGTCGGCTGGCTCAGCGGAAACCTAAGCCGAGTGTATCACATCGCACGGAAGGCAAATTGGAATGCGACACGAAGCCCCTTACGGGCAGGCTTACTGAATAATATGAGAAGAGGGGGCTTACTTTGGCCCCTGTTGAAGAAAACAATGTGGCCTGCACACAAAACATTGGACTAGTCGTCTGCGACTAATTTAAAATCTCATGTAATCAGTTGTTAGTAATTGTAAGCATTAAGGAGCAACAGCAACATGTCGAACTCACAAACTGGAAGAAAGATGGAATGTATATCAAAGAAATAAGAAAAATAATAATTCGTGGTCTCGGTGTAGGATGACTCAGCACATAGTAACGGTATCCGAACGAAAACAGTAAACTCCATAAGGTATGAGTATAACAATGCAACATGAAGCTGTATCTGAAAACGTTCGCCATCAGTTTCAGGAATTACTAAAGCAAATTGTTCCACATATCCCACTTTATAGCTGAACTCACCCAATGAAACAGCAAAGCGGCCCGAAAATTTTGCATGGTCCTTGAGAAACGTAGAATAGCCCACCACCTCCGGGAATGATCCTGAAAAGCAGAAAAATTGTGTACAGACTCAAACAGTCTCTTGATCACCTTCGGGCTGCAAGCTCGTAACAGGGTCAACCATCGCGTTCGCACTTTTAAAAAAATCTTGCGAGCAACCCTCCTTTCAGCAAATCACCACGTTTCCCATCCAAAATTCATAATCACACTTCCATCCAAAACCGCACTCTTCGAGCGCATCAACTTACCAGAAAGGTCTCGCCACAGTCTTCTAAATGCTTTTTTGAAATTGTGCTTCGTCGTACTATCCCCTGCTCTCACTCGGCGACCACATCCTCACTCATCATGGCTGGTTTGCATAACATATTATGATTCTGCCGAACAAGTCGAGCCCCAGCCCAACTCTCTTCACGTCACGAACTTCCTCAAGAACGGCGTTGGGCAGGTGAGGAGGGAAGGCTGTTGAATACGGGCGTATTCCAACAATTTATCTACTTTTCGCAACTCTCGCCACACTTATCGAAAACTCCGTCAGCTCGGCCAAAATATCACACATACCTTATTTTTACGATTCGTCCTTCACATCTCTACTTCCCTTCAGAAGCGTTCAGTTCGAGAGTTAACCTTTACAACAAAGTGCGGAAGCCAACTGATTTGTTGCCCAAAGTTTTCATCTTCTTATTATCAGTCAAGTCTGGAATTATATGATCTGTTTCGGAAATCGGAACATTGTGTGGCATTTTGATTTGAGTCGCAGGATTTGATATCGCCGACCTGGTCCTCCTTTCTCCCTCCCCCCCCCCTCTCAAAAACCGCCCCTCACGCGGCTCTGGCTACTGCTCCTAGTCCAAACTGGAGCAGGTGCTAGCGCTGAAGATGCCTGAAAACTGTCTGTACCTCGAATTAGGTTTGATTGGGGAAACTGTTAGATGTTCTCGAAACACATCACGCTGACCGCGCTGGAAACAATCTTCCCCACGAGCAATCCTTCTGAAAGGTTAGAATCCCCATATGTCTTCTTATAGGGCGTATGAGTAGGGGAGGCAGAGGAGGGGGAAGAGTTGGAAGGGAGAAGGGGAACAGAGTCGCATGGGCATTGATCGAAGTGTATTTTCGTAGCACAAATTTGATATCCAGTAATTTTTATCCGAGCGCGATTAAAATTAGGGCAGCGGAATAAAAGAAGAATGTGGCGCTTTCTCGAAGCTCCTTCGCGAGTGGCACCCCTCTTTCTGCATCATGAGTATGTATCGGATCATTATTGTTGTGCATCCCCCTTCTTCATGGTTGCCGATATAGATTTTGCCAGCGGATTTATTTGGCCAGTTGCGAGCTCACTCCGTAAACACATTCCACAAGAGCCCCATAAATTGCCTGATACTGCAAAATCTCGCATGAGCGCTTGCTTTGTTTATGGCACTGCATGATTAAAACAGTGAGTAGTCCTTATCTTATGTAAGTATGGAGCTTTTTACACTTTCCGGAAGATTCCACTCTTTCTTGACGAAACATGTGTTTTAGGGAGTCGATTATGATTTCATGCAAAAAGTGATGCCATTCGAATCGAGGCCAAGTTTAGTACATGACTTGGTTGAGTAATAGATGTGATGTTCAATTTCCGGTTGAACTAGTGTATTTGCTTCACGATAGTTTCTTTTTTTATGTAATAGTCATTTGGCACTTACACTATTCCAGGGTTAAATCGCGCGGGTGGAACGGTGTCGTCAGAAGGTTCTGTCGGGTTTTTTCAGTCATACTATATCTCGTCATTAGTCGCGAACTAGTAACCATAACGGCACATTTCCACCCTGAATTCCGACGGCACTCTCCGAGCCGTCACTAACCAGAAAGGTCTTCTAGGTCGAGTCCCGCTTTTAAAAATTGCTTTTTTGCATAATGTATGAGCATATGCATGAAACACAGAACCGTAGTTTGTCCTTCCTGAGCACTTTTCTGGACGCTAAAAAAGGTTGATAAGCTCAAGCGCCACTCTTCTTTGGCATCAATTTTTAAACCGGCTCACACGGCTTAGTGATGGTCCTGTGGTAATTTGACATTTATTACTAGCCACGGGCACCATTTTGCGACATCACTTAAAGGCAGCGATTACGATAAAGAGGGAGCGCATCGGGAAGCATATGCACCACACGAATCAGTTACTTGGCTGCCAGGGAAGCGAGGTGTGGCGCTTTCACGACGAAAGGTGCGCTGGTTGCTGAGCAGGACTTCGAAAGCACTCCGCCCCCAAAAGCGATCCGCCCACTAGTTTAGTTGGTGATTTGGACGAGCTGCGTTGCCAGCGGCACAACTGAAGCAACTCGATTGGAGCATGGATTTGGCATGCTGTCACAAACG